GCTCATTCTGACCTCTATCTGCTACAAAGATTTCCAATATTTTTATTTTGCCACTGGTCAAATAATGGGCGTACATTACTAATTAATCTACACAAAAGTAAAAACAACTAGTTTTGCGTAATTTATAAAGTGAATAAAAATTTATATTGTTTCTTTTGCAATTTACATATATGCTAAATTATTTGTGATTCGAGTTTAATCAAGGCAATGTAGGTTCATTAGCATTCCTGTGTTTTTAAAAACATCAAACTTTAAACGAAAAATTACTCCTGCCCTTACTGTACTACCTACAGTAAATATCGAACACATTTACTTAAAAAAATGACACATTTTCTCTCCATAAAATCCCACTAAATATTAGCGGTTCAAATAAAAACATTTTATTATCCAATCAAATAAATATTTGATGAGATTTCCTACTGACCTGACCAACAGTGACTCCAGTCTGTCTTAAGCAAATTCAAACGGTAGGAATCCAGTAACGTCTCAAACGGTATCGTTAATCAATGCTCGAATTAACCGAATAATGTGGCAAAGTAGTAGCACCGAACCAACATGTGGTACGCGCAAACTTAAAGGAAATAATAGGAAAAATGTTAAGAGATCTGCTGCAATGAGAATTCCGCATTTTAGTAAGAACATTATGAGAAATGGTCGACTAACTAAGAGATGCGTTATTTAATACTATTAGAGACGTTACGCGTGCGATAAAAGCACCGCGTTTAGATTTGCAGTTATCAAGTAGTACAAGTTTATAATTTCATTACCAAAATTTCTTATGAAGGAAAAAATACCGGACATTATCCGAATATTACTAAATTAAAACAAAAACTCAAAAAGCTTATGTTTGGTTTAGAGGAGAAAGAGCACAATTTTCAAAGCTTCGAGCAAACACAACCAGCATTTAGTATTCATCATAGATTTATTGATAATTAGTTGCACAACTTTCAACGCATTTTCAGGATATAACAAATAAAAACTAACCGGAAAAACGTGAAGACTGGAGCAGATAGTTAAACATAAATAATTAAACTATCATTTCAACATAATTTATCAGCACTGTCTGCGCTAAGATGTAGGATGCCTTCAGCACAAATATTTCCTGCTTCTTCTTTTGTATATATTTTTAATTTGAAGTTAGTTAAGTTGTTATTGATGACAGCCTTCGTATTGAGAAGGAAATACACAAGGTAAATACAACTGAGCATTTAAAAAATATGAAGGCCAGGCAATAATTGAAATTATCATCTTTTAAATATTTAAAAATACTTGCCCGATTTGTAAATCTAGTGAAAGTTAAACTTTTTAGTTTTTCAACAATGTAGTACTTACTACTCTCATAAGTTGGAGTAAGTGAACAATTCCATATGTAGCAATAGTAATTTATGTTTTCAATATCAGATAACAAAAGCAATAAGGCAGATTTATTGCTCAAATTTTATTTTCAGATACTAATAATTTATAACATCATTAAACATGTAAAGATGCCATTAACGATTGTCGTGATAAGTAGAAAGTGAAACCTATTTTTTTATTTCCATTTTAGACTGAAAAATTACACAAACGCAAGTCGATTTCGATCAACATCTGTTGTTTTATGGCGGTAATTTTCATACGTTGCAACCAAGCAATGAGCACTTTCTCTATTGATGGTTAAATATTATTTATTATATCTAATTTGACTGCCATTAGCATCAAATCTAGGACTAAGAATTTACTGAGTTTGGGAGCAACAACTAAATTTGAATGAAAGAGAGAGAATGGACACAGATGAAAATGTGTTCATTATGTGTTACAGATGTTTCTATCAGATGGCTTGGTGCTAATTTAAATAACAAAGATGACTTGAATAAATAATACCAAATCGCTTGAAATATGTCTTAATTAAAAGGAAGTTGTCTTAGACTTTTCAGTAGTTTTATTTTGAATATGAATGGGGCAAATAAATAGTAGCTTTTTTTAAGGAAACTTATTTTGCAAGTGGAAAAATTAGAGCTGATTCCATCATGAACAAAGCACAGAATTGAACCATTTGTAAAAGTTGACGAAGACAAACAAGTATATACAAATACAAAATTGGAAAAATCATTACTACGCTCAATTAGAAAATAAATTTTGTAGAAATACGCTCCCTTAAAACTGCAGAATGTTATAGTTTACATAAACAAACTGGGACAAGATTGAAGTGAAAATCACATGAACTACGAGAAAACCAAGACGAGGCCAAAGAACAAATAAAAATGAGAAAAAAGTTACAAAATTACAGATATTCCTAAAGCCCAGAAAATCTCCCAAAATTATTGAGAATGGCTTCTCGATCAAAGGAAAAAAACGGGGAGAAATATCCTGGCATCTTTTAATGGAATAGAGCGTAAAGAGAGAAAACAGGATAAATACAAGCATTAAGCAATATAATCTCAATTTTACGTAAACAAATTGGAGCAATATTAAATTGTAATTAAACCAGCTTAAAAAATTGTTTGTATATTTGCAAAAACTAAAATTGAAGCAACAAACTGCACAAAATAAGAAAACAACAACCGATTAAAAACGTTTTGAACAAATCGTTAGAAACTCTGTGGCCATAAACGCATTAAATGTCAAAAAGCATAAAAGTCGATACATGCGAATTGTGGCATTAGGAACAAGAAAAACTAGAAGTAAATATGATAAATGTGTTAAAAACATATTTAATAATTTTTTAGATTTCATGTAACTTTTTTTGTACTTTGCCCAATTGAATTAATTGAAAGAACATTTTCTTCATAGTATTCACGACCTAGAAACCTAAGAATAATTACCAAAAATACAAGTTTCCACTCATTTTATTTGTTGTAACAAAATTGGTTTAAATTAGGAACTAATTCATACGTCGCCACAAATGTAATAGCCTCATTAACCTACCTATTAACTCATGTTTGTAGTTTTATACTACATACAATTTAAGCACCATTATTAACTAGATCATCGTTTCATCGTATTTTTAAATGATGTTCATATTGTTTATCGACATTTCAAAGCGTTGTGGATAATAATTTTAACTCACGTTTCGCCATCCCGAATTGCTTCCATCTTCAGAGGTGTTTCATTCGTAACCATTGAACTGAGTACGAATTTTAGTTCAGTGTAAGCTCTCGAGCGAAACTCCTCTGAGAATGCAAGGCAGTCGGGCTTTCGAAACGCTCGGTAGAAATCATTTTTCACGGCAGAGTAAAAATTCTAAAACCTCACCAATTTCAAGCAATTTTCCAATATTCAATGTTATTTACACTACATCTTGTTTTTAAGGATTTATTGTTGTTCGATTATAGGCAATTTTGTGTTAAAACTGTCTGGTTATTAAATCTGGTATATAATTTGTGCAACTTTCTCGCGTGTTTTTAACTGTTACGTAACAATATTAATAACAAACAACTTTATTAGAAATTGATTTTTGATATTTGAAAAATTAAATAATTAATTTTTATTTTTATGTTAAATGTAACTAATTTCAAATTTCTTTCTTCAAATTTCATTTGACTATTAGCTGTTTTCTTCTTGTTCTATGATGACTTGGGTTCAAATAATGAACTTTCAACCGTAAACCAGCTACAAGAAGGTTTTTTCAGTAATTGTTAGATTTAGATTGAATTAAATTGAAAAAATTTAATGGATAGAATGAGAACTAATTAAATGATATAAAAATATCATTTTCAAAGCTCTGATTTAACCGGTAAAAATTATCAAAAAGGAACATAAGGCATAAGCTAAAGTTGAGAATAAAAGCCGCAATAACAGTTATTCTTCATGAGCCAAATAAATAGCAATTTTTTGAATAATAAAGATTCAAATGATAAGTACTTAGATGATTTAATGACACCATTCTGCGGTAGATTCATTATGTACAATTAAATTCGGAAATTATTGATGCCCGACACATATTAATAGAATATTCTTAGATCTATTACTTATGAATGATAATTTTATACATTATAATTTCGCGTAATTCGCTCAGAAATAATTGATTGCAACTTTCTAGTGGCTACATGTTACAGTGATAAATCTTCATGTTATCAATTTTGAGAATTCGCCTTAGAATAAATAATGTAAGAAGCATTTTCGATAAAAATTCTTATCGTCAATTCGTCGCAAGAGGCCAGGATGCAATCCTCGTAATCAATCAAACGGTAATTAGCAAAAAACAAAGTCAATGATGAATTATAGAGATTATTGCCAATAGAAAACAGGAAGATAATTGATATTTAGAAGAATATACTTTCGAATCGCGTCAAAAATATACTCTTAATTAATCAACAACATTTTATATTTTAATTAGTTTTATAGTCTTATAATATATATTATATCTTTAAAACAATAAAACTTTATAAGTACATTTACTTATGTGTATCAACATTAATCAATTTGGAAATTTGAGCACTAAGCACTACAGCTTGGTGAACTCAAGCGCAGACAAATGTATAAATGTACTTTCTCAAATATAAAATTCTGCAAAACAATGCTGTAAATGAACAAAAATTGATTAAAACAGCATGTTAGGTACCAGGCAACAATTATAATATAAACGGCAATCTCACTTCCGGTAGTCAGCGACCGGAACAGTTGGTTTACATACATCATAATTTTAGGCCAGGATGAGCACAACTTCACTATGTCGAAATTATTTGTATTTTTTTACGCGAATCGAATTCTTGCCGCAATTAGGTTTCAGAAATATTTCGGATTGCTTTGCATTTTGAAACCCGAACCTCAGTATGGTATATAACAATCCATTTCAGTGGCAGAATGAGGATAACTAATGTTACTGCTCATTTTCATTGCTGCCATATGTCGCTATACTCTAATTACAACAAATGTTTATGAGTCTGTTGGAATCGTGTCAAAGTTGTTTGATAGTATTAAATTTCTAATTGAATGCTCTGGGATTAACCTGAGAATTATTTGCTTACTTACTTACTATAAATTTTATTTCATAAACTTAGCTGTTTACAATTCAGCATTACCTCATGTTTTGAATTTTGATAGACGTTTTCCCATTTCCAATCCTCCTCTGCTCCTCATGCATCCTATTTATATTTCTCCTCATATCCTCTATTTCACCACTAGTTTTCCGAGCACTCTGTTTAACACTATCAATCTTCGCCATCATTCCTTTGTCGTCTTTAATTTTTTTCCCAATCCGCAACGAAAGCATAATCCTTATTCGTACGTGTCTGATTATATATTTTTCTGTTTTCGCTTTATACTTTAAAACTTCATCATTCCTATGAGGCAGCAATTGATATTTGTTTCTTTTGGAGTTACGAGATGAAAAATTTGGCGATCTTGATGATGGTCTTAAAAAATCAATAAAAATAATGTTGTACATCAATACGGAGTGACTGACTTAATTAAGAAACTTAAATTGGAAAAAAAATTTTGCTTTAAAACCATATTCTGCAAATTAACTCATCACTTCAATAAAACATCTAACAAAATGTATTAATGCTTCTGCCATTGGTTTCTTCACCTTTTCATAAATATTACTTTTAATAAGATTTATTTTTTACCTATTGATGTGTGTAGATTGTCGATGAATTTCAACATCCTTTGTGTGATTGCTGTGGAAATCAACAAAATTTTGCTCAGCTGGCACATAAGCCGGATTGTAGTAAATGTAACTTAACGAATTAAAATTGCTTTCATCTGAACACTCCAGAATGGCTTCTTCGTGGATATTTGACTTTGCGTTCAATGTGTTATGCAATGCGATGTTTTTTCCTAGAGAATTCTTGCTGCAGCTACGTTTAGCTGCCGTTTGCTTGAGCGGTGAGGTTTTGGGCTCAATTGGAGCTACCAAAGGGTTCAAATAGCTTGGATGCTTTGTTGAAGAAACTTCTTTGCTGGTAGATGCTGTCACTCCGTACAGCTGGTTAACAGTGAATTTGCCGTTATAGCTTGACGACTTTGATCCCAGTATTTTAATGTGTTTTAGGCCTTTCCACATGTCTTTTAGAATACTGTGCTCCTCTTCGGCTTTTTGCAGTAGCTTTTCTTTATAGACGTTCGGTAGTTGCAGATCGTGATACCTGCTGTTTAAAACACTTTTAGATTCAATTTTAAACTTTTCCCTGTAGTTTTCCGATATTTGCTCAAATATCTCAGTTATATTTTCGTTGCGTTCTTCCGCCGTGTCATGGTAAAGGAGATTGTTTGTAGACTTTTGTTGGCCGATAGAGGCCCGAAGCTGAGTTGAATTATCTCGATTATTATCGTCGGTTTGATTTGATCCCAAAACAATCGCCTGCTGCCCTTCCATGTTGCTGATGATCGAAATCAGATCCTCCACATTGGAGATGGATGAACTGTCGCTTGCATCCTCTTCTTCAGCCTTTTCGCCATCAGTTTCAATTTTATTATAAGTGGCATTGTCCATTTTGTTCATCCCCAAAGACAGCATATGACTCCTGTTATGTACCCAGCCCTTAGATATAGTCCATTCTTTTAACCAGGCGGGTTTGGAAAAATCTGGTTTGGAAATGAAGGACTTTTTGGGCTTTAGTTTTACCATTCGGTGGTTGGAGGTGACTCGGAGCTTTTGGTTTTTTGCAACCGAATTTGGGGACCAAGCTTTTCGTTTAGTTAGGCACATACGAAAAATGCGCCAGATATCATAAGCATTTTTCATATTTTTTCAAACCATGAGTAATTTATTTGTTCCAAGTGGTGTGCGTGGTTTCGAAGGAAATTGCACACTGTGATAAAATAATTCAATGGGGTCGAACTTTCCTAACAAATTGTGCAAACATAACTACACATTCACAGGCCTGATTCGCCACAAATATAATCTTCACACATTTTATTTAAAGCAAACAATGCTGCTATTTGTTGCTCCGTTTCAAACGGTTTGTCCGACACTTCTTGTGATTACCGCAATTTTACCATTTAGCTTATAGAGCTTAAGAAAATCCGATTGCAAAATAACTAGCAAAATTTTTATAATAATTTAAATTGAATTAATTATTTGACTGTGTACGGACGAAGGAATCCGGATTTAAATACACGTCAGATCAGACTAAATGAACAAGGGAGCCCAAAAATGAAAACCAGAAAAACGGAAGTACCATAATACGGGTGACTGATAGGAGGAACCCCACTTTGTCCCTTTTTCTTCATGCTTCAATGCGGCGCCACTGACTGATACATATTTATTTGTTGACGGTGTATTACAATAGTCAATAATTGAAGTGGTTTTAAAAGTTTGATGTGGATTCGAATCTTTTTCGGTTGCATAAAATACAAGCAAAACCAGATATAATTAATCTCTAACATAATTATTTGGAAGCCATCTTTAAAGGATCGTAATACAATAATTTCAAATATAAATGTTACTGATATTAGTCCAAATTCACATTTAGTCAGGTACTAGAGATATTCACCATTATGAGATGAATAAAGAAGTCCCGCAAATAGAAAATATAATATACAAAGAAAAACATTAATCTTCATATCATATATTATAATTAGATGAAACAGAAAAGGAGCTAGGTTATTTAAAATTATCTAAGAGGGGAAATAACGATAATTTATTGCAAATATCTTATATTTCTTTTACAAGCAAATGATTAATTTCTGTCTGCTATTTAATACTGTAGAAACTGTCTGAAATTGTTGTGATATGAGAACAGATGTGGTACGGATCATACACTGCTCTAGATAGCTTATGAATGTTTAGAAAATAACATTTATTATATAAAATCATGTCAAGCTACATTCATATGCACAAAAGGCAAGCAGGCCCAGAACTAGTTATATTTTATTGTAGACTATAGCATATTCATGGAATCAAATTCAGTGGTTTTTCCTATTAACTTAAATAAAACACGATTGGTTCCCAAAAATTCGGCGTTTAGCTTCTAAGCCGCAAAAATCTGATTGTTTCTATTAACATTTTCGTTTTAAAATTTACTTTACTTACATTATTACGCTTACAAAGCTGACGTTTAAATGTATCATAATATAGTATAAATATGAATTACTTAATCCTACTGAAGCTGTATTAAATTACTTTAGATCCTTTACTACCGCTCTAGAAATAGGTGGTTTTGAAGGATCTTTTGCTTATTCTTTTCTTTAGTATTAATTTGCCACGTGTTATGATATATTTATTACACACAATAACTTTCATAAAGGTGGTCCAATTAATTCATCCAATGAGCACAAAATTCACATTTATTTTCATATTGCCCAACATTTACAAGTTGATGAACCCTGTTCAGACTCCATTTCTTTCAACCCATACCAAAACGTGCTAACAAGATGACCGTGAGAGAATGCTTTCACTTGCAAAAGATTTATTTCTTCGACCCTTTCATCGTCACAGTGTCATTATCATTTCGTCAATGACTATGGGAATGTTTTGTAATATTTGAATCACAATACGCTCTATTTTTTCCATGCGATGTCTTCCTCCATTAATTAATTGAATTCATTCAATTGGTTCAAATTGTGAATTGATGTAGTTAGTGGATGTTAATGAATGGTGTTTCAAGTGATGATGATTTAATTTGCAACTCTCAAATAATTGGATAATTTTTCTTCATCGCTCGGTTGTTAGTTTGAATTAGAAATTTCAGTTCTCAAGAACATACTGCGAATGCAAGGAATACATGTTTGAAAGGGTGTAATATTTCTACGTCGTACTTGTATATATATATATTTGCACTTATTTTGTTGTGAACGTTAAAATATAATAAAAATTGCATGTTCTTACGGTTGTACTTTATTTTACCTTATATTACAAAAGTGTGACTGTCTCCAGCTAGGATTTTCCTTTAGGATTTATTAGGATGCCCTTATTTGTTTGGTAATGAATCTAGACTTTTTCATTTTCATTCTTAATTTCGTTAATTACCTTTGATTATTCCAGTTCAACTCCAGCAGAATTGATAGCTGAATTTCTCCTAATAATTAGTTAAAACTTTCTCTAAAAATGGATAAAAGCCTTATCGTTTGTCTCCGTGTCATAATAGATGTACCACGTCTGCCGATGTTACAATCGCAAAATTGAATGAAACTAAATTTATTATTTCATTTAAAAACCATTATTAATAAGAGCTTGTATAAAGACTTAAGAGAATGTTGTTGCATTTTCGTATTTGTTATGCAAGTTTATTACTTGTACCTGCAAAATTCAAAGACTAGTAAAATCCTTAAAACGTTTCGAAATATCATAAAACGACAATTAAATATTGACAACCTTAGTCGACCATGATGCTTTTTTAAATATATTGCTGGAAATCTCCACGAAGTAAACGTGAAAGTAATGAACTATTATCCTGTAAACTTTGGGCAATGCGGTATCAACTGTGCATATAAATTTTGTTCTGTTTTAACCGAAACATTCTGAGAAAATTAATTGCTGAACATCCCGTTTAGAGCGCGCATACAATTTTGGGTAAACCCGATCATTAAACTTGGAATGACCACCAATTTAGCATTATTAAGCAGCATTCAGTTATTCGTAATCAATCATATGAAGACTCTTAGTTCTCTTCCTATGTTGTTTTTGTATGGATGAGAGGAAGCGCCAACTCGCAAGTGTTACCAACTCTTCAAACAACTTTCTTCAGATCCGATCACGATTTCACAAAATATCTGGGTCCCCAGACAGCCTGAGGACGCCACTTGGTGGACACCTGACTAGACAGATTTATACCTATTTGATCGCTTTAGAAATCTCACTACAGCATCAAAGCTGATACTCAGCTAGTTTTTGTTGCTCGATTTAATTGTTTAGTAATTGTTACGTGCCGTTCAAGAAAAGTTTCTTTTTTCGATTTCATTCGACTTGAACTATTGGCGTGTTTTCTGGGGAAATCTAAGTGATTTCTTGATTTTCATTAGTTCAATATCCTGTTTCTGAACATGCAATTGCTGTTTTCAAGAGGGAATATTCAATACTGAATACATATAACATTTTCTAAATACATGCACATGTTTTATAACAGTTGCATCTTCAAGAAAAGTTAATTAGCCCCATGGTTAAATGACGTTTGCATAAGAAATGCATCACTTCCCTTCCGAAGGAACCTACATTGTTCTTTATAGTAAATAATAATATTATACGATTAATTCAAAATGTATTTTGTATTGCGATTTAAATCATTATGAGAATTATCGGCAAATAAATCGCACCAACGCAATCCAGACAACAGGAAGAAATTCAATGATTTAACGAGTAAGAACCTTGTCCCAAACAATTGAAATCCAAATTAATTAACAATTACGACGAGATCGATGTACCCTGACTGGTGCTATGCTGTTCAATTTATGAACTGCACTGCGCGTAAAATGTAAAAAATTGTAAATGTAAACATTTGTTGGAATTTTTGGGTTTACAGTATTTAGCAGATGAGCCAACAATTAATTAAATAAAGAACAAAATGTGTTAAGCTTTCTTTTAAGCCTCTAGTGTTTAGATGACGCGAAAACTAATTTACAAAACACTTTCTCTGATACTTGAGCAGCAAAGTCAATTTTTCAGTAGCAAATATGGGTTTTATGCTCTGTTTTATTGCCATTTGTAAAAACATTGAAAGTTACGGGAAATCGAATGGTATTTATCACAGTAGCACTAGTGGCAAATAAGTGATTCCTCACATTTGCACTTTAATAAATACGTCTATAATTGAATTTTCACCAATCAGTGATTGATAGATTCAGCATCCAAGTGCAAGTGAAATTGTCTCCATTAATGGACCGTAAACAGGCAAATGAAAGTGTCACAATTTTTATTATTGCACTTTAAAGTGGCTACAAATTACAATGTTTAAAAGCAATGTTCTTAAATGTTATTACGGTAAATTACAAGCTATTATATGTGCATAGTTTCTCGTTATTTTTATTTAGGTATCCACATGATTTTCAGGATTTCACTTGTCGCCTGGCAATAAAGCCAGATTTAACATGTTACTCTTCTAATTTTTATTTTATCAATTAATATTATATTAAAGTTGATGATGGAAAATTATATTCTTCTTTCGCTTGCTATGCATTAAAGATTTATAATGTAAGAGCAACTACAATCATAAAATACTGTCATTAAACATAACCATTTTTAAAAGCTACAGAAGTTATAAAAAGTGGTAAAATAGCCATTAAAACGCAAATTTTGAACCGAAGATGGTGCTAACTATTCGACCGCAGTTAGTTACCATAATTAGTATTTCAAATACGCCATCAGTTCGATTAAAAAGTGGCAAGACAACTACACATTAATCAAATAAAGACCTTATATACAAAACCGCTATGCAACTTATATGGAATATAATTGTTTTTGCCTTTAAACAATGCAGAATACAAACCTGTTCAATTGCTTGGCACGTTAAAGCAGAATATTACATTTCTTAGTAATTATGTTGATTATTTTCTTGCTAAATTGGATATTACACAGCAGAATTATAATAAAACATATATAAGAAATCGTTATTAGATGCAGAAGTAGTTATTATACATAATTCCAATACTAACTACCACGGAATCTATGTATTTGATCGGGATTTTGCTATGATACAGCAATTAATTACAAAGTCATTAAAATAGCTATTAAAATTAGCATAGAAATTCGAAATCGTGTTACTTTCTTATCATTTTATTGCCGTATTTTTACAACATTAATATACTCCAGGGTAACCATTTATTTCAGTTTATTTTGTCAGATTTTAAGTAATTAGCCAAAGTTTCTTAGAATTTTTTGAATTTGTGATGACCACATATATTGTGCGAAATGAACTTAAGAGTTGCGATTTTGGTTTAGTATTTCATACATTTTTCAAACATTCGGAAGCTTTAAAATTTTGTATATATTTTCGTGCCTTCAACTAAGATTTTCGGAAAGTGACTGTGAAGTTTTCAATATCTTTTCTTGGTACACTTTCTTGCATTCCAATGAAGGGTTCTTCTAGTTGCATCAACACTAAATTTAATTACTACAAACCTCATCTCTGATGTTGTCAAAGTATTTTTGAAGCTGGTGAGTTTGCCCGTCTTTTAGGCCATGGTGGAAATTAAAATTTTCCAGGCGTTTCGC